GAGGAACGCTGGTTTCTATTTAATTTTGTATTGATTTCAGAGAGGAAGGGAGAGAGAGAAACATCCATGAAGAGGGAGAATCATTGATTGGCTGCCTCCTGCACGCCCCCCACTGGGAGCCGGCAGCCAGGGCGTGTGCCCTTGACCGGAATCCAACCGGGACCCTTCAGGCTGCAGGCCCAGGCTCCATCCACTGAACCAAATTGGCTAGGGCTCTATTTTGCTATTTTAAAAACGCAGTTACCTGAACCCGGGCATAAATTTGGGAGGATCATCGCAACACTTTGCAAACTCGAAGATGGAAACATTTAGTCTGACCGGTGCTTCTGAAGGCTATCGCAGCCGTGTGTCGGTCCTTCTCGTCGCTTTTTCCAAAACCGCAGCGCCCTCCCCTGCGGCGCGGGGCCCCCGCGGAGCACCGGTCCGGTCGCTAGGTCTGAAAACAGGCGCCGTAAACCGCCTCTGAGCCGGGCGGCCCGGGTTTAAATTGTGCCCCAGTCGCTTCCTAAACATTCGACCGTGGTTAAATCTAACTGTTCTACGCCACAGTCTCCCACGGTGGCGAAATGAAGATAAAAATATCTGCGATGATTGGATGGGTAAAGCGAAATGCCCTAACATGGTGTGCTGTTAGCTGTTGATACTATTTTTATCGCTCTGAATTACGAACCTGTACAGAGGCCTGAGTCCTTTCCATCCCAAAGACCCCCTTCGCGGGCTGCCTCACAGCTCGCCTGGAATCGGCTGGTCTACAGAGAAACCCTCTGTGGAACTGCCCTGAGCAGCTGAATCCACCCCAACCCGGCTGCCAAGCAAAGCAGGTGCTGTTACAGACCAGGGTCAAAACCCTTTAACTGGGTTAACGGACAGGAAGTACCCAGGTACCTTTCTAACTTCTCCCTCAGGGGTCCTTTTTAAAACACCCTGTTTCTTCTCCAACCACACCAAAACGATCTAATAGAAATAATACGTATTTGGGCACTTACTACAGGGTAGGCATGGTCCCGATTTCTCCAAGTTCCTTACTTTGGTCAGTCTTCAGAAAACCCATGTAAATTCTCTCCACAGATGAATGACTTTACCTGAGGTCACAGATTAGGAAATGGTGGGGCCAGGATTTGAGACAAGACCTTTCAGGATTAACCACACACATGTAAGTAATACAGGATGTTGTAGAGATCATACACTGTGCTGTTCCCTGCTGGAATGTACAGAATTAAGGTCTGCCTTTTGGATTTTGATCACCAGAGTCACACTATCTGTTGCACCCTCCCCACACATGTTAGGTTCAAAAGTTAGGCTTACTTCCCTGCTCCTTCTGCATCTGGTGGTTTTCTTTGACTGTATGCACCTCTTCATTTAGTTAACCACGCAGTAAATGTTGCACATTGTTCTTCCTCACAGTGTGTTTTGGATCGTCACAACTACCATTACTTACCTAGTCTGCGTAGCACATGGGCCTGGGTTTAAATCTTAGCTCTACCACGCACTTGTGGTCTGACAGAGAGCAGTTACTAACCTCTCTGTGCCTCCATTCATGCATTCATTCGCTCATCTATTCCAGGTTCCAGAAAGCAGCAGTGAACAAGACAAAGAATACCTGCCTTCCCAGAGCTTGCATCCTATTGAGGACAGACAATCGATTACAGAAATAATTCTACAGTATATTAGAAAGTGAAAGTGCTATGGAGAAAAATAAAGCAAGGAAGGGAATTCAGTAGTGTGCAAAGTTGGGATTAGTTATAATCCTCAAAGGACTGTGAGTCTTAGAGACAACCTAGGTGACATACAAAAAGTGTTGGGGACTCAATATGGGGACTTAAATGATGACTTTTTAAAACTCACTGCTTTATTCCTGCACAGAGCTGACTTGCTGTTGCTGATGCTCCTGTCTTGAATCTCCTTTTCCTGGCCCTCTCACCCAGCCTCCCGGGAAACATTCTCAAAAGAGTTCTAACAACTGGGAGAATCACAGGCTTCCTTAATTCCAGAGGCCCGGGTTCCCTGCTTCGGGTGTGGTTCGTGTGTTGAGGGCTGTGTCTATGTGCAGGGAAGCAATTTCCCAAGATCCTAATTTCTCCGTGTGCGTCTGCGTGAGGGTGCACCTAGAGCCGGGGCTTGAATTCTTCCCCCTGGGAAGCTGCTTAAAAGTGTCTTTTGGTTGCGAATGTTTGCTTGACAATTGAAGAAGCATTCCAGCTTTGCAGGAATTTTCCTGCCTCTAGGACACAGGATTTAAGTGACCCAAAAGGGTTAGCGTGACCTCTAATCTTCTTGGAATAATCGCTATGAATACATTTATTAGCACGTCGTGTGAAAATAGTTACACGGATTTTCAGCTAATAGGGAGAGCATGTTTTGGAAGGTCTGACTTAAAGTGTAGGCATGTGGCATATTCAAGATTCACTTTTAGAAGTCCCAGGGAGCCCTCAAAGTGACAGTGGCTTTCAGAACAGCTAGACCTCAGAATGGAATTTAACTGCATTTGAGAAATATCTTTGAAATGGTCTGCCTGGAAGTAAAGGGCATCTGGGGTTCAGAACTATTGGTGAGATCTCTTGGCAGATTCCTCAAAAAAGACAGCGAGTTATGTCTGATCAACAGGAACCGAAGAGGCCCCAAGGGCTGACAGTAGGATAGGCTGTGCACAGAGAAAACCAAAAGGAGTTTCAAGTATGTGCCCCAAATGAAAAGCACAACTGCAGATCCGGGTTTGCAATCAAACAGCTCCTCACTGGCAGCTTTAGGGAGCTTGCCCCAGGGTGAGGGGCTGCAGGGTTAACGCTTTTCCTAAACAGTTCAGGAGTGGGGGCAAGGCAGGTTAGGTTAGATGGCACTAACAGGTAAGCTGGTCGGTAGCAGTGCCAGAATCACACACCCACAGGCACATCTAGGGCGTGGTTGGAGCATTCCTATAGACGACATGGCACTTGAACATCTTGCCAGAATGATACAACCGGCAGAAAAAATGGGAACTAATGTGAAATTTCGACCTTGGCCCCAATCGGGCTAAGCTTTCAAAAATGATTGTCTTCATCCGCTTTCTTGTGTTTCTGTTTTCCATCACCTGAGGGAATGCACGTAATTTACATTCAGGATCCCATAGAGAATTTATCTAGAAGATTCTTTTGAAGTCTTTACCAAGAAATTTAATTTAAATATAACAATGTTGATTTCTTCTTTCAAAAGCTTTAGTCCCTTTCATTCCAGCGGGAAAACATTGATTCTTCCCTCTAATCCTTTATTTTTACAAAGTAGGAAATGTAAAAGCACATGTAAATGTGTGTGCGAGAGAAGTCCCCAGGAAGCTGCATCTCTGCAGGACAGCCAAGAGGGGGAGGGGGCGGGGAGGACAGACTACAGCACTTTGCTTGCCTTTGTATCATTTCCAAAGCCCCAGGGATGATCCTTAGTGGGAAATTGGGCTTATGTTGCCGTCCAGGGAGGCCAGGGACTATATGTTCATCTTTCCAGAACCTTCCTGGTCATGTCATGAAGCGTCATGTGTGCAGCCTCTTTGGCATTAGCCATGATGCATCTACATGCACATTACTTGTCTGTGCCTCCATATGTGAGCCCTGTTTTCTCTGGTGACTTTTCTTGTGTTCCTTTATTTGCTCAGATACGTGCAGCACAAATCGCTGCTGTGGAAGAGAACTAATTATTCTTCAAAGTAGGGACTACTTCCTGTCAGCCCATTTTCGCCTTAGGGATCAGTGGAAATGCATGTCCACATCACAAGGAACGCTTTTGCTCAGTTTATCAAACTTAATAAACTCAGTTTATTAAGAACTCACAGATCCTCCGAGAATATGTTGGTGGAACCCCAGGTTCCTCCACGCTCCTGTCTAAGCAATACTACTTTAGGCCATTTGATAGGTGATTTTAACAGTTATATTTCTATAATCATGAAAATAGCAACTTAATGGCAACAATCTAATCTACACCAAACTTTGAACATGTTAATGCCATGGTAACTCTGCAAAGCAGGTGTGCCACAGTTTTATAGTGGGGAAGGCTGAGCTCAAATGTCAGGTAATTACCCTGGAACCCGAGCTCACATTTCAGAACCTTGGAAGCCTCTCTAGTGTATTCTGTCTGCCCGCTACTCAATAAGAGTGGCTAAAACATGCCTTCACGCAGCCAGTTATGGATTTGACCTGATAAAATGGCAGCTTCAACATAATTTAGCTTTTTCTTTTTGTTAATCCTCACTCGGTATTTCTCCCATTGATTTTCAGAAAGGGTGGAAGGAAGGGAGGGAGGAAGGAGAGAGAAACATTGATGTGAGAGAGACACATTGATTAGTTGACTCCCACACTAGCTCCCAGTGGGGGCCTGGGATAGAACCTGCAACCCAGGTACGTGCCCTTGACCAGGAATTGAACCCTTGATCCTTCAGTCTGTGGGCTGATGCTCTAACCACTGAGTAACACCATAACACCAGCCAGATCAGGGCTAATTAACTTTTATATTGCTGGTCAAGACTGTTAGATCTGGAGTTAAATTAACATGGATTCTAAAGCTTTCCAGTCATGTGACTGCAGGAGTTGCATAATCTCCCTATGCCTCAGTTTTCTCACCTGGAAAATGGGGATAACATATCATAGGACTATTGTAATAAATGACTCAGATTTGTAAAGGGGTAGGAACAGTCCTGAAACAATAATAATTGACAGTTACCTGTTTTTATTTTACACACACACACACACACACTCACACGAATATACACACCTCTAAATAAACCTTTTTGACCTTGCTGAAAAGGGATTATATAATAGAAAACTCTACATGTCAGTTTTGTTCTCAGGAACAGAAAAATAATCCATGCAAAATTTTGAAAAATTATTTTAGTAGATTGCTTTACCAGTCCTCTTCGTTGCTGATGTGAGCAGCCCAGAAATCACATTGTCTCAGTGTGCCAAGAGACCAGGACAAATTGGGGGCGTAGGGGATGCTGACAGCTGGGATTTCCCAGCTGTCTGGGGCTCACCGGCTGAAGCAGCAGGCATTTTCTCCCCGTCGCTGCTGGCTCACGGCCATTCCTGTTGACTGCATATTCTACAAAGAGGGAATTGGAAGTCTACTGGCCCTAGCAATTAGTGTCCCATTCTCGCTCAGTGATCTGGGTTTGCAGTCGCTGATGGGAGCTCCCATTTATACACTCATCTCAGAAGGCTCATCCTCTGGGAAGTTCCTTCCTTCCGCTGACTTCCCTGCGTAGCAGGAACTTTTCAGATGGGGGAGAAGGAGGGAGTGTCAGAGCCACTGGGGATGAGAGCCATGCTCCGGGACTGGAAGGAATCTTCCATTCCTGGGTGAAGGGTGCTGTGCTGCAGGCCACATTGTAACCCTGAGTAAACAGGCCTCCTGCTAACAGTTTATATAGTAATTCTGCACGTATATGAGTCCAAGTTTATTTTATTAAACGTCTGACAAGTATGCATCTTTCGTAGTATTCCCATCCTCCAAAGCCTAAAACCTTGCCAGGTCATACTCCTCCTCACCCACTTGCCCTCCCTCCCCCTTACCCTCACCTAACCAGTTTCCTGGGGAAAAGGCCTTTATGGTGCAATTTCTCTGCCCTTTTGCTACATTGTCTGTATGGTAATTTGCTTTTAAGTAATTGAGTATAACTATCCTAGTACTCTAATACTTTAGGGATGGGTAATTAGCTGTGATATTCTTTAATTTGAAACAATGCCTTAGACTGGATGACCTGCAGGATTTTTAAAATTTAGCATAAAGGATGTTTTAAAAATATTACTGTTGCTGAAATGGGTGGCATTTCTGATGTGTGATTGTTAGAGGAGGTGTGGCAAGGCCTGTGGATCTTGCAGGACCCAGATAGCAGAAGGCAGCCAGCCCATCTGCATATGGAACCACATAGCCGCTAAGCACCACGGAGCCTCCCACCCTTCACTTCAGCTGCTTCATGACTTGGGGCAGCTGGGATCCTGTCCCCAGTGAGACTCCAAACCTGCTGGTTCTGATTTTAGGAGTCTGCGGCTTTTCCTTCAGTGTGGCCCTTTCTGCAAGGTGCTGTCAATCAAAGAATTGAGGGTAGAGATGTGAGAAATGCTCACCTGTCTGAATTCAAATAATGAACTCAGAGACATAAGTATGGCAAAAATGAGCCTTTTGATAAGTTCTTGCAAGAATGGGTGCCTCTCCGGTTATACAGGCACACACAGAATAGTGATCGCAGGCTGTTTATCCCCTAGCTGTGGTCGGCAAACTGCGGCTCGCGAGCCACATGCGGCTCTTTGGTCCCTTGAGTGTGGCTCTTCCTAAGCCTTAGAAGTACCCTAATTAAGTTAATAACAATGTACCTACCTATATAGTTTAAGTTTAAAAAATTTGGCTCTCAAAAGAAATTAAAAGGTTCGACATCACTGATTTAGGGCCTAGGGTGTGAGAGTCCGTCCTCTGGTTCCTCATTGGCTGAGCACTGTGGGGTTAATAGTGTCCTACGTCACCCAGGTCTTATTGTCTCCTATTGGGCTATTTACAAAAAATGGGCTGAGGCCTTTTCTAGTTGTCTCCACCTCCCCCTGTTTAGTGGAGGCAGCTTGAGGTGTTTCATCCTGGGCGCCTCGGGCCTCCACCACGATGCTGGCTCACGTACACAGTCCTCATGTGCATTAGCCTAAAAGAAAGTTTCTCTTGACAACACCATCCTGTTTGAGCACCCATTGTGAGTCTAGAACTAAAATG